CTTATTTTTTTCACAGTGTTTATTTTCGGTATTGGAGTTTTAATTCAAATTAGGTAAAGAATTTGGATGTAGTGCCCTGACAAATGTTGTTTAGTTTATTTGTCTCCATAACATAGTTTGTTTTCGAAATTTTTTGAAAACTTGTTTATTTGTTTTTTTTTTTTTTTTTTGGTTTGCGTTCAGCCCGAACGGCCGAACGCCTCCTCAAGGGGTCCCGTACGTTTGGGCGTTCGGGTTCGGGCGTTCGGCCCATCCCGAACTCCGGTAACCCTCTATCTATCTATCTATCTATCTATCTATCTATCTATCTATCTATCTATCTATATGTATATATATATATATATATATATATATATATATATATATATATATAGAGGGTTACCAGCCCGTATGTACGGAGGTCCTCGACCAAACCTCCGTATGTACAGGCGTTCGGGGTCCTGTACGGGGTTCGAACCGACGGCGTTCGGCCCCTGCCAAAAATAATTTCAAGGTCTAAAAATATATTGTTTTTTCTGAATTTTGTTTTATGAGTTTTCTATGACGTTAGGTACACGCCTAGAAAGTTTCAAGTCATTTGGCTTAGCCAAATAAGAATTAAAAATCGTCAAAGATGGGGGTGTCAAAACGTGCTTGCTCAAGTTTTTTTTCACTTTTTACTTTTTGTTTTCACTTTAGTTCGGGGTCTAAACAATTTTATTCGTTTTTGCAACTTTTTTAGTGGGTTTTGTATTATGTGAAGTACACATATGTAAATTGTCAAGGGCATTTAGCTATGCGAAACAAAAATGAAAAATAGCCAAAGATTGCGGTGTCGAAAAAATGCTCGCGCACTCACTAAATTTAATTCTCTTTTTATTTGTATTTATTTTTATTATTAGTATTTATTTTTCGTATTTTATTTTTATTTCAAATTTGGTAAGGACTTCGGATGTAATTCTCAGGCAAATCTTGTTTAATTTATGTTTCTCCATAACATATCTTTTTTTTCAGATTGTTTTGATGACCTTTGTTTTTTTTTTTTTTTTTTTTTTTTTTTTTGGTTTCGCGTTCGGCCCGATAGGCCGAACGCATCCCCAAGGGGTCCCATACGTTCGGAAGTTCGGGTTCGGGTGTTCGACCCATCCTGAACGCCGGTTACCCTGTATATATACAGGGTTACCAGCGTTCGGGACAGGCCTAACGCCCAAACCCGAACGCCCGAACGTACGGGACCCCTTCGGGAGGTGTTCAACCGTTCGGGCCAAACGCGGACCAAAAACAAAAAACAAAAAAAAAAACAAGGTTTCAAAAAATTCCGAAAAAAACTATGTTATGGAGAAACATAAACTAAACAACATTTGCCTGGGCACTACATCCAAATTCTTTACCGAATTTGAATTAAAAATCCAATTAAAAAAATAAACACTATGATAAAATAAGAAAAAATAAAAAAAGAATTAAAATGAGTGAGTGTGCCAACACCTTTTCGACACCGTCGTCTTTGCCGATTTTTAATTATTTTTTGGCATTGACAAATGCCCTGAAACTTTACAGATATGTAGTTTGCATAATCAATAAATCACTAAAAAATTTTCAAAAAATAGTAATTTTTTTTAGGCCCTCAAATAAAGTGAAAACAAAAAGTTAAAAGTGAAAAAGAACAAAATAGTGAGTGGGCGAGCACGTTTTGACACCCCCATCTTTGACGCATTTTAAGGTCTTTTTGGCTTAGCAGATTGGCTTCAAAATATATCGGCGTGTACGTTACATCATAGAGAATTCACAAATACAAATTCAAAAAAAAAAACTTATTTTTAGGCCCTAAAATATTTTTTGTCGGGGGCGAACCTGGAGGTGTTCGGCACTCGAACGGGGCCCCGAACGCCCGAACGTTCGGTCAAGTACCCCTGTATATATATATGTAGAGAGAGAGAGGGTTGCCGACGTTCAGGATGGGTCGAACGCCCGAACCCGAACGCCTGAATGTACGGGACCCCTTCGGAAGGCGTTCGGCCATTCAGACCGAACGCGGACAAAAAAAAAAAAAAAAAAAACGTTTTTAAAAAATTAAGAAAAAAAAAATGTTATGGAGAAACATAAACTAGACAACATTTGCCTGGCCACTACATCCAAATTCTTTACCAAATTTGAATTAAAAATCAAATACAAAAAATAAACATTAGGATAAAAATAAGAAAAAATAAAAAGAGAATTAAAATGAGTGAGTGTGCAAGCAGCTTTTCGACACCGTCATCTTTGCCGATTTTTAATTATTGTGTTTAATTGACAAATGCCCTGAAAATTTACAGCAATTTATGTTACATAATAAATAACCTATTAAAAATATTTCAAAAAATAATTAAATTGTGTAGGCCCCGAAATAAAGTGAAAACAAAAAAGTTAAAAGTGGAAAAACACAAAATAGTGAGTGGGCGAGCACGTTTTTACAGCCCCATCTTTGACGATTTTTAATGTTTTTTTCGCTTAAGAGAATGGCTTCAAAATTTTTAGGCGTGTAGGTTACATCATAGAGCACTCACAAAAAACTACTTAAGAAAAAACACTTATGTTTCGGCCCCGAAATGTTTTTTGGCGGGGGCTGAACCTGGAGGTGTTTGACCCCCGAACGGGACCTCGAATTCCCGAACGTTCGGGGTCCAGCCTGGGGCCCCGGAACGTTCTGTCAGGTAACCCTATATATATATATATATTCTGTTTGTGATGATATATATATCAAGGCCTAAAAATAATTATTTTTTTTCAGAATTCTATTTTGTCAGTTCTCTATGATGTGAGGTACATGCCTATAAATTTTGAAGTTATTTTACCAAGCGGAAATAAAATAAAAAATCTCTCAAGATGGCGGTGTCAAAACGTGCTACTTACTATTTTGTTTTTTTTTCCACTTTTTACTTTTTGTTTTCACTTTATTACGCAGCCTAAATAAATTTATTATTTTTTGAAACCTGTGTAATGACTTTTTTATTATGTGAAGTACATATCTGTAAGTTTTCTAAGCATTTAACTGTTAAATTGTTTTTTAAAAAATCGTAAAAAATGGTGGTGTCGAAAATGTGGTCGCTCATTCAAAAAATTTAATTATCTTTTTATTTTTTCTTATTTTTATTATTAGTTTGATTTTATGTATTTTACTAGGTTACCAAAGCGGCCCGGGTCCACTTGCCCGACCAGGCCAAAAAAAAAA